CGTATTGCAAGGTATTTGCGCTTATGTACCAATATCCGACAATCCAGGGTCGCGCGATGGTCTCTTCATATCAATTGGTTTTTTTTTGAGTCGACATTTAATTAATTTAACCCAGACACTTAAGGGATTAAGGATACAGAATGCGCAACATTATATCATTCTTCAAACTGAACGCACAATCAAGGAAGAAAGCACACCAACCAAGCAAACTCCTTGGTGGGTACGGAAGGCCGCCCGATCATGACCTAACGGGGTGAAACGGAACACAACAGCATTTGTAGAACAGTGGTTAGTTCACATGCCTTCCAATCGATCGAATTGATAGCATGCGACCCGGGTTCGAGTCCCGGCAAATGCACTTGACTAAATAAAACGTCTGTACCATTGTTAAGGCAATCCTGATGGGCCCCGTAGATTTTTCCGCTTGTTTTTTTGTGCGCTGATCAATTCTTAACATTTGCAGCCATTTGTTAGCGTTTGCTGAACGCATTCGACAAGCGTGAGTTATATCACGTTGGTGCGCAAGGTTAAGGCACAAACATAATCTCAGTTTTATTAGTATGTAGACAGCGCGCGCTTTTTATCAGACACGACAAAACCCCCAACTATCTGATAAACTTCTTTCTAAAAGCATATCCAAACGTAACAAGCAAAACACCCAAAACAACAGTAACCATAGTTCCATATGGATCTTTCCCGTCGCCACCATTCTCGTCGTTATCTTTTCTACCCTTCATTATAACCACATCATCCTTTCTGACATTTCCACTATCCCCACCATCCTTCAAAGGTGGCCAAACTTGACAACAAACCAACATCCTCTTCATAGGAAAACATTTAACAATAATCCGTTTCAAAGAAGGCATAGCATTCTCATACATATCAATAAGTTCAAGGACATCTCCTATTTTGCGGTTTCCAGAAACATCAATGAAAAGATGTGTGAATGGCTTGTTGAGAGATAAGATTGTACGAAGGTCTGTGTATGCATCGAGATTGTGAAAGTGGAGGTTTGGGTGTGTTGATGGTGGGTAGCGAGTTGAAGAGTGGTTATGTTGTGCTGGTGATTTGTCAACCCCGTGGACCTGGAATGTTATATTGATATAGTTTATCATCATGTTGATATTGGACATTCGGAATCCAGAAGCGATCGTCATGATGAAAATGGATTAAGGTCTGACAAACCTCTTTGGCAACTGCAGCCAACAATGCTGATGTGATGCCTTGTGCAGATCCCAGTTCCAATACAATATCATCTTTTGTTATAAACACATTGATCGCTTTCCGGTAATCAACGACGCTCTCAGTGACTAGAACGGGGACTCCCGTCATGTTGTAGGTGGAGTTGTTTCCCATTGATGGTAGGTAGTAAGGCTGATGATGATGACAATGACGATGACGACGAAGAAGTGGGTCTGGTCTTGAACCTCACTGACAAGTCTGAAAAAGGGAGAATCTGTCCCATTCTATGCATTCCAAACACCACGTAATGTAAACAACATAAATCGAAACTATATTTCTTAGCAATAAATCACAACCATTACAATTCCCATCCATCGTAAACATTTGAATGATTTCACATACTGAGGAAAAGAATAACAAACTCCCAACAACTATACCTCCTCACGAATGTATATACAACCAATGTAAGGAAAATTCAATTAAAAACTACCCCTGATACGACTGAACTTTCAACCGAGAATTCAATCCATCATCGCTCGTATCTCCATCAAGCAACGAAAAAAAAGTTTCATGAGTCTCCTTATCTGGAAACTCAAACTGAAGCCTTCGGAGACGCGTTGCAGCCTCCAAACCTTTTAATACTTCAGGCAAAAAATCACAAGTACCCATAACATCGCGATCATTGTCAGATAATCCTGCGCCATTAGCCTTCTTAACAATAATCACCAATGTCAAAAGCGATGGGAAAACAGTTGAAAGATCCGCAGTCATGTCTCGAAGAATTTTGGTGATGAAATCAGCGACGTATGATCACCGAATTCGGCATCAAATTCGACATCAAATTTATCATCAAATTCATCAGAACCAGGCTCCGTGTTGTAGAGGAAAGGTATGTTTAATTGTAATCCAAGTTCGGTCAAGTTGTGCATTTTGACGTCGATGTTCGCCAATCCCAAGAGTAAATGATTGTGAAGGATAATCTTTTGACCATTTCTCGATGTTGACGAGATAACATTCCGATTCGAGATATATGTGGTTTCGTGGGGTCACATAGCGAAACATTTCTGTCAACACTTCGACGGGAAGATCCGGCATTGTTCGCGATCCTGGTTTCGGGAGGATCAGATCCATGACAGATTGACCTGAATAAAAAAGGTTGACGGATTGTTGGCATGGATTATTAACAATGAGCTATTAATTGCAGTTTTGAATACAGATGCAAGGTTGAATAACAACAAACATCATTGTATGTTTTATGTGGCATTCGCTTTTGCGAGTGTTCGATTCAGAAAACATGGATTTATAAAACAATCGAAAACAGCTGTCCAAAAACATAGTTGCTTACGCATGACGAACTCAAGAAGCGTGCGATCCAGATCATCATTGTCCATTTCCCGAAGACTTTTATATCAGTAGAGTGCGGCCAAGAGTTGAATCGATGATGTGGATGGAATATTCAACTATGGACTGCTCAGATGAGGTTTTAGTCGACACTCCAACTGATGAGGGGGTGACAAAATTTCGATGAGGAAAAAGCAAAGTTGGTGAAAACGCGTTCAAATGGAGACTGAAAGTGCCGATTCTAGGTGATACGTTATGCATCATATATATATATATATATAAAGAGAAAACAAAATACAGCGATACTATATTTCTTAACAATAAAGACACAACGATTCCGATCCATCCTATAATACATTCCGATGATCACAAACAAAGAAAATGAATCCCAACAACTACGTCGGCACCAACTCAAACCTGTAACATTGAAAACTTCGATATAAAATAAGAAAACAACACAAAAGAAATCAATTCTAAAACCACCAAATAAAAGCTTCAACTCTCATACGAGAATCAACCTTATTACCATTACCATCTCCATCAAGCAACGAAAAAAAAGTCGCATGAGTCCCCTTATCCAGAAACTCAAACTGAACTCTCCGAAGACGCGTAGCATCATCCAACCTTTTCAAAATTTCACTTAAAGAATCACTAGAACCCATTACATTAGGATCATATTTGAACAACGAAGAGCCTTTACTTCTCTTAACACTAATGACCAATGTCAAAAGCGATGGGAAGATAGTTGAAACATCCTTAGTGATCTCTCGAAGAGTTTTGGTGACTAAATCAGCAACGTATAATTCAGAAATATCGTCACCATCATCGAAATCAGACCCTGTGTTGTAGGTGAAAGGTAGAACTAATTCCAATCCAAGTTCAGTCAGATTGCGCATATGATTGACGTTGATGGTTCCCACGCGTGCAGGAGGGTCCACAGACTGTTCACACGTGCACAAGAACTTCCCAACATTTCCGATTTCACTGCTTACAAATTTGAAGTCGCGGAGGTTGGGTAGTGCTCCAACGAGAAAAACAAAGACTTCATCTGTTACTCCTGACGCCATCTATGCGTGAAGATGTTAAATAGTTGTATATTGACGGTTAGAAAAAAATATATCGTTTGTTTTGCTAAAATAATATTACCTTGAGACTGGTGAGATTGGTCAGGCGGTGAAGCTGTTGACCCTGAAGCCCTTGTGCGCTAGTAATTGTGCCTCTTGCAGTTAAAGTAATATCTTGCGCGCTTGTAAAACCATCGATTTGGGGCCAACGTTGCATCGGAAGTTCAAGGCAATCCAAGATTTTCAACGATTGGATCGTGACGTTCGACATGGCGAGATTACCAAGAAACTCGTCCTTTGTAACTTTACAAAGACCAAGATAGTCGATTTTCAAGTTGATATTTTTTAACAGGACTGGATGTTGAGGAATGCCCAAACCCTGGGTCGGAAACAAAAGATGTATATTTGGTGAGAAGTTCCATATAGAGATGAAGGTGTAAAATCAACATATCGTAAATACCTTAGGACGAAGCAATGCCACCAAGCGCTGGATTGCGCCAAGTTTACTTTCGTGTTTAATAGTCGAGAAGTCTAAACATATATATAATAAAAAAATGAGTTTTCGAGTCAACAAACTAAAAGCAGAATACACAAATTAGAGACAGAGTACCCACCTTCCATGGCCAAAAACGTAAACTTGATTTTACAATTACTTTGAAAGAAACCAGAACCACCTTTAAATTTCTTCTTATGAACCAACGCATTCATTCGCGCGACTAAACCTTCCACGTCATTGTCGAGTTGGTGCCAGCATCCACATTAATTGGGTAATAATTAAGCAAGATATCCAATGGCGAACTTGACTCCTGTCTGAATGGTGAGTCAAAATCCCATCGACTGCCCAGATTCAAACCACTGACTGGATTGCCATCCGAGGACACAGGGGAGGAAGCAAATGACAGACTAACTTGACAGATGATTGCGAATGATAGTTTTTGGACCATCTTTCTGTATTGGCGAGACAAGATTGCGATTCGTGAGATTATATGAGCTCGTGGGGTTACATAGCGGAAGAGTAGAGTCAAAGGTTTGATGGGAAGATCGATTATAGTTGGCGATCCTGGTTTGCCGAGGATAAGATCCACATGCTCCTTTTTGCCGGAAGATTTACCTGTGAAAAAGGAATATAACAGTTGATGTGTGATTTAACAATGATCTAGCCTAGACTTTGAATGCAACATGCATCGAATAACAATATCTCCTTGTATGGTTTTATGCAGCTTTTGCTTTTTCCAGTATTCTATTCTGATGACCATTTGATGATACGATTGTGCAAAAAAAAGGCTTGTTTGACTTACCCATGAAGAAACCATTAGGCACTTCTTTGAAATCAGTTGAACTTTTATCCATTTTGGCCAAGACTTTTGATGGCAGTAGATTACTGCGAACAGTTATATTGATGATGTCGATGGGAATGAATTCAAGACCTCTTGGATGGGACCGTTGTGTTGAAGCCCAAGTCGAGGATTTGTGAGAGGCGTCAAAATTTCACTCCGAAAAATGCAAAGTTTTACAGCCTTCAATGCAGTCGACTCCAAAACTAAAGTAATAACCGCGTAAATGCAAAGTTGAGATTTGTTAACCTATTCAATATTTAAAGAACTGTATTTGTTTCTTGGTAGATGCAACTGCTTTTGAAAAACACGGTGGAAAAAAAGAACAAAAAAAAGGAGCTAAAAGTAAGCCTGATCAAATAAAGTGACCGAACAAAACTACCAAACCAAGTTTAACCACGCACAAATAAATAACAAACAAAACAAAAGGGAAAAGA